TCTTTAAATAGCAAAGGTAGCTTATTAACTGTGTGCGCAGCAAAACACAATACTGATCACTTTCTTTTTGTTTTAAGTTGGGATTTCAGAGGTAGTGAAAGAAGAGAGATCTATTCAAATAGATTGTCCTTTGGCAGCACAAGATATTTTGTGAAGACAAACTGACTTTACATTAGTATTCAGCCTTTAGGAATACATTTCTCTTTAATTTAAAGCAAGATATTTTACAAACTCAGAAAGTAGCATGCTCTTGTTTCACCACCACCCATTATTCCATCTCAAGAAGCTATGAAAATAGAAGACAGAAATGAAATTTTACAGCTTGCAAAGCACTGATAACTGATTGACTAAATTGATGGGAATTGTAGGGTAATAATGGTTAGACTGGGGAACAACTGATCATGACTAGATCATTGGGATCAAACAGATGATAGCTTATCTGTAGCTCTGGGCAGATCACCAGAGGATTAGCACAGTGTTTCTCAACCAGTTGTACGAGTACCCTTCGAGGTACTTGAGAGAAGTCTGGGGGTTACACAACTGAAATTTGGAGAAAACTGAATTTTTGTTTTAAGTTTTAGAGCGCTTTATTAGTTTGTACTTTTTAGACCCCAAAATTTCATCACCCACCCAGCTACAATTAAGTTGTTTAAACAAACGTGTTGCAACGGTAGAAAAAAAAGTGTGTCTGAAAACTGTAGGTACTAGAGGTACTTATAATATTTTTTTTAAAGGGGTACTTTATAAAGAAAGGTTGATCAACACTATATTAGCACATAGAGCAATGGTGGGCAATGAGACATTTTATTTACTGTTGCCCATGCAAAGGGTTGCCAGATTCTAAAGGTTTTCAGCTGCATAATTTTTTTCTGTGTTAATAAAGTGACATTCACATAAAGTAAGGACACATGAAGTGAGGTGCCTGCTGATCGCACACAACATTGACTGTAAAGGTTGTGCTCCCTCTGCATCCAAAGTGCAGCTATGGTTCAACTGGCACACCCCACAAATTCTAGGTACTCAAACAGTTTATATAAAACTACTCTATCCTAGGAGGCCATCTTGGTTACGACACTTGTAGCTCACTGAGATGAAGGACGGCCACTCATGCGGCCCACTCACTAGCCTAGGTTGCCCTTGCTGACAGAGTGTCACCTCATCTGACTTTAAATGTCAACATAATTCTACGCTCTCTCAATTTCCCGAGCTGATTGCTTACTTTCCATAATTAAAGTTGGAAACCTATGGAAAGTAGGGAGGAGTCCTGTGGCACCTTACAGACTAACCAAAGTGTTAGAGCATAAGCTTTTGTGGGCAAAGACCCACTTTGTCAGATGCATGCATCTGACAAAGTGGGTCTTTGCCCACAAAAGCTTATGCTCTAACACTTTGGTTAGTCTGTAAGGTGCCACAGGACTCCTCCCTACTTTCCATAGGTTTCCAACTTTAATTTTTAACTTTTCAGACAAAAGAAAATGAAGTTGCTGGTATCAAACAACTCCATCTTGTATAAAGATAAAAGATATCCCAAGTTCTTTGGGCTGTACTATGGACTGCTTGCCAATTAAACTTTGCTGTGTAAAGAGGGAAGTGAGAATTGGAGAGAGAATAAGATGACAGTCAATCATAAATCAGGAAAAAATATTACCAACAACTGTTTCTGCAAACCCCTCAGATTTCTATAACTTAGTGATTAAAGAAAATGTCTTATTTCAGTTTATTCTGTACATTTGCCAGTTTTATCATATCCCCAAACAGTTGGATTGTGCTGTTTTTGTGGGAAGTAGAAGCACTCCAAAAAGGAAAGAAACAAAATATTCAAGTACGAAAAAATCATTGTACTTCATTAGCATATTAACTGGGGCCCAAGAGCTGCTACACACTAAAATTATCCAGTCATTTTTTAAACTGACTAGATTTAAATTTACAATCTTTTGCTGTCCCCATTAAAATCTACATGAATTCTGTCGAGGTATGAGCCTCTGAAAGATGCAGTTTACATTAGCTCAAGACCAATTTAGCAAATAAACTCTCCAAAGATCCCATATATATTGGGGATACTCCTAAACAGAGGGATAGACAACTGAGCAACTGGTTCCTGTTGGCCATAAGGGAAGCTGCTTTGGCACTGAGCAAAAATAAATAGCAATGAAGAGGTAATTTAGCGCAACTGCAATGCAGAGAGGTACCTGGAATATGGACAATGACCCCCTGGAAATGCTAGAAGTGGGAATGTGTGGCAGGAGAGGGAAGATACATAAGTGTCTTGGACCTCTAGAAAATACTCCTCATAGAACTTGAATAAAACCCAAGATTTCTGAGACTCAACATTTCAGTGCTGTCAACAAATAAGTGTGTAACCCACTGGAAAATCATGTGCACCATTCCATTTAATGCTCAGTTAAAACTTTATTATGAGTTAAAACGTATGTTGTGGTTTTAAGGACTTTAACCCTGCTGAAGTACCAGGTGGGTGTCAATATGCTCTTTGTAGATGGGATTTTATTACCATTCAGAAGTTGTTTAAAGGCAATGTTAAGATTGTCCATGCATGCTTAATTTGGCCTCCTTGTACATTATGACCATTTTTAGTCAGACGCTGCACATGGCCAACACACACACACCCCACAGTGCAAAAAAACCCAACTTTTTCTATTCTATTTCTTAACCCTTCTTCCACGAACTTTGTCTGTCAAAGTGGAAGGGCATATTTTCATACATTTCCCCTAAACTGTTTTACCAGGAGGGCTTTTTTTTTTTTTTTTTTAAATCAGCTATAAAATTATCCACCACTATCCTGCACTTACTCAGCTTTTCCTTTTTTTTTAAATAAACTGGTGCATTTTTAAAGTAAATTTGATCATGATTAAATCTGTAGAAGACAGAATAATGTCAGTAATCCACACAGGTGAACAGAACCACATTGCAAAGGTACTTAGAAAGTTAAAGATCAACATCAGAGCTGTGGGGAACAAAGAGATTTGTTACTTATAAATGTGCAGTAGGATTAATCAAGTGTACAGAATTTCATTTTGAATGGCATTTGATTGTTAGGCAAGTGAAAGAAATATATATCCAAACCTTGCTGTATGTCTTTGATTAACACATTCATACCAGTTGTTCAGCCAGAGTTACTATTTCTACACCCCCCATTTGTTAATGCTTATCTATATCCAAAATTCAGTTCCAAAGTCCCTGAAGTCCAACAGTGAATAAATGCATACACAAAAATGAAAAACCATGAATAGATATGAAAATTACATATTTTCATTTTGTCATATTAATACTATTAGGTTTTCCACTACAGTTACTACAGGAAAGGTGTACATTAGATATTGAAAGAACTGGGCAAGGAGAAGATCACTTTCATATTGTGGAACTTTTAAATTTTGAGAGCCAGTAGCTTAATACAATTAAAAATGCAAAATAGCAGTGAATGGTTTATGTACAGGTAGCAAATTCTGTTCTTTCAAACTCATCTGGAAAGCCAAAATACAGGTTCTCTGTACAATATTTTACATCTCATCAAGGCATCTAATTTAATTCAAAGCTAATCAAAATCCACTAAATAGTGAGGTCTTCAGATACTCTATTACAGCCGTTATAAAAGTGTCAGTTTTACAAGCATCTGTTGTCTTATTACACACCCATTATGCAATACTATAAGTTGCTTTACTGTGCTGTGCAGCATGACCATGATACGGCTGAAAGAAAATCTAAGTAATTTGACATTAAAAGCACATTTCATCTTGAAAATCATTTCTACATAATAAAAAGTTGATCTTACTGACAAGATGAGAAATGAAATTTCCTCTGCTTGTAGCACAAGGTTTCGTCTGAATGTTCCATGGAGGAAGCTCATGGGAGCAAGTCAAAATTTAACTGCACTTAACAGAAGCAACATTTTCTTTTCAAATAATTTATTTCAACATTTAGAACAACCAACACAGAATTATACAGCTTGGGCACAGAAAAAAATGTGTACATTAATGCAACTGTAGTGCTCTGGAATGGTACTAGATAGACATAACTTACAGCGAGTGAGTGTTTGCATTTCCCTCTTGCCTACCATATAACAAGCACAGACAATAGCAGCCCTATTACCTCATTATTCTACCAATATGACTTAACTGTTTAAGTTGAATTGTGTATAGAAATTTTATATTTCTATATTTATTTTCCATCTTGGTCAATACATTAGGAAGTGTTGTCTCAAAACATTACAATTTTCCAAATCGTATGTTTTTATCATATGATTATAGATACAAAAGGACAAATCCTGATGTCTAGTTAGCCACATCAGAAAGCCAGTAATCAGTATTAGTTTTACATTTCTTGAACAAAAGACTGTTTTAATTGATTTCAACTAATTCTGCATTAGACTGCCTTCTAGTGGCAGTCTCCTATTCTGGACATTCTTATCCACAGATGACCAGCATTTCTCATTTCTAATCACAAAAATTAGTTGGTCTAGAAACATATTTTGATACAAAAAACTGAAAGAATTCATCTTAATTCATAGTTAATTAGCTCTAGAAAAGGAATATCAATAGGTTAAGATAAAAAAGGAATTTTATATGAAAGCTGCATGGCTCCATACACACCAGAGAATTATTAGCAGAACTTGTTTTAGATATTATGCCATTAAGCTTTTTAACATGTTTTACCTTGCTGTTATAGGCTATAGCATGTTTTTTTTAAATCTGTGTTGAAATGGTTATGTCTGGTGTACCAGAAATCAAGTAAAATTAACTTTTAAACTATTTTTTTTAATGTTAAGGTTGTTGGGAAAGTAGCCTGTTAATAGAGCTATGCGTCATATGGTCAAAAGCAAAATGGAAACACTAATAACTTTCGTTTCCCATGGCAATCAAGTGTTAAACAAATGTATTGGCCAATTATTCCAAATGTAGTAACTCTTATGGAAATCTGTTTGTTTTTTTAAAATTAGTTATGACTAAATTTAAAGTATTTAAATGACCACCAGAGACAGATGAATAAATGGTTCAATTTTGTTTTTTATTATAAAAACATTTAGAGACACTTTCTAAAAAATGTGTACAAGTGAAACTATATTAGAAATTTAAACATAATACTTTTTAACCAGTTTTCTATTTACACATACTAAAATTCCCAAATTGGAACAACAACAAAATGTGAAACACATTATAGGAGTATACAATATATACAAACTTTCAGAGATTTGTTATCTCTGAATCCTTTATACTGTACATACAATTATTACAAAAGAAGCAAATTTCTGCTTGTCTGATTTGAGTAGTTTCATTACATTAATGGAACTCACAATAGGTCTCCACTACTGGAGTATTTATCCAGCAGGGCTCGAGTTAGCAGCTCTAGTGAAGACCCTGCTAAATTGACTGTCAAATGCACTCCTGTCAACTGCGGTACTCCGTTGGAACAAGAAGCTTAAGGTAATTCAAACGGGTGAGTTTCTCTTGTTGACTCAGCATGGTGAAGACGCTGCATATAGATGACCTAAGGAATGTTGATTCCAGCTAAATTATATATAATTTCCATAGTCTGCAGTTATGGCAAGTAGACAAAAAGACAAGAGTTTTGGTAGCCTGAAGCTCAGCCAATGGAAGACCTATCAAGACAGCACCTTTCCATTTTCATAGGCTCAGGATTTTTCTGGTTTAAATAGTCAATAGCATTAGTGTAACCTATGAGTTACATCAGAACACCACCACCACCACCATCTGTATTTCATGTCTTTCTGCAGCAGAGAGGGCATAAAAAATACTTCAGAACCTATTTTATTATTTATAAAGATGTCTGACCAGACATCTATCTAAATAATAGGTCCATACGCTTCCCACCTTCCCCAAAAAGAAAGCACATGGCTCTTTTCCTGATTTTCTCTCTTCATATTGTTTGTAACTTTCATCCCAAAAAGTATCACCTAATTTTCATCTAATAAAAGGCACTTTTTCTGTAGATGAGACTACCTTCTCCTCTTACTGTAATTCTACTGTGCACAGAGAGCTAACTTCAGATATGCCACTTGTGACTGCAGATGGGATACTATTAGTAGATGCTGTTCTCCAAGCTTGGATGGTCTCAACAACTTCTAATGGATTGCTTGGACCCAAGTCGAAGAGTGCATACACTGCTGCTAACTGTACTCCCCAAGGAACATCTGCAAAGATTTGGTAAATTAGTAATTAGGAAGGAAATCCACAGGGGGGGGGAAAAAATCAGTATTTAAAAAGATATTTTACATGTAATAGCCTTTTCATCATTTAACCTGAATTCAGAAGATTATTAATTGTCAAATTAAAATAATCTATGAGAAAAAAAAATCAAAAGGAAGCCTATAAACAGAAGTACAAGTGTTACTTGGAAAATAGGATTAATGTATCTGCTGTATTCCAAAGCATATCTGATAAGCAAATGCTTATCGGATAGTTGACACACTAGTCAACTAGTCGCTTCACGCTCTCCCCGCCCCCCGTTACCTCTATCAGAAAGAGACAGGGGAGAGGGATGAGGAGGGGGTGCTTCAAAATGACAGTGCTGCGTAGAGTGCCGCTGTACTTGGCGCTGTCGCTTTAGAAAGCCATGTGGAGCCTGACGCCGGCCGGGCTTCCCAGTGTTTCGAAGTGGGAGAGCTACATTTAGCCCAGGGACTCCCACGCCAGGGCCCTGTGCTCCCCACAGCGCTTTCATGTTTCAAGTGTCCTGGGGTGCCCTTATCAACTAATTGAATAGTCAATGCAAAATAATTGAATTAATTCAATTAGCCAATTAAAAAAAAATTTACATCCCTATTTCAAAGATACCTTCACACTGTGTGTAATTTAAGACATCTGATTGCCCATTAAAAAAAAGTGTCAATGTCTTAGAAAAAACTTCTAAATTCAGTGCAGCTATGATTTTCAAAGGAGCACCTAAGGGCGTTAAACATGTAATTCTCTTAGCCTCCTTTGAAAATCTAGACCTACAAACATAATTATTTCACATCCACTTTGACTACAAGGGAAACACCATCATTTAATTTCTCATATCATGGGATCTCATACCTTTAGCATGGTCATGCCTAACTCCAAAGCGAATGCCATCTCAAAGTTATTATAGCACAGGGCTACTCAACTTTGGAAGCCCCAGCGGCCACAATGATACTCACAGCATATGACGAGGGCCACAACTTAAGTGTGGTTGCATATACATGCCAATATATGCAAATAGCTTATTTCACACTGACAGGCATGAATACAAAGATTAAGACAAGACTACACAACACACAGACCCATTTAAGTCAGTGCTACTGATATTAATAAAATGCAATTCTACCCAATTTCCACCTATATGACAGCACTTTTAATGAGCAATGACTGCCCAGGAATTTAACTACTAAAATGCATATCAACAAAAGACCATTATATTGACTACTTTTTTGTTTTGGCTCCCACCCACAGGTCATCTGTTGAGCCCTGCGTAAACCCAAACTGCACCGTGGGCCACAAACAACACGGACTGTGTGTTGCATAGCCCTGTTGTAGCAGCTAGGAATCGAGGAGCTGAGACATATATAGCATCATTCTAACAAAATCAGTTATATACTTGGTCAATTGTCTCCCCTCAACAACAACTGAATAAAATCAACTCCTCATCTGTCAGACATATTTAGAAGCCATTTTGTATGCCATTTGTATGCCACTGCTAATTGATTTACGTAATGCTAAACCTGGTATTGAATGATAAGTTATGTGGCATGATTCTGAAAACCTTTACGAAAGTGAATAACCTTCTCATGTGAATTGTCTTCTACCTCATGCATACAGAAGGACTGAGTTTGAAGGACTGAGTTCATAGTTCCTATCCTTCATTAACATACTGGCAAAACCCCTTGATTTAAGAATCAGCAGTTACGTTTTCTACATGAACGTTACCTACCTTCTTCTTTCGCATGCAGTATAAAGCGCCCAATGACAGAACTGATATTTTTCACAACAGACAAAAATCCTTCCTTCAATCCTATTTGGCCTAAGCGACCTAAAAGAGGAGAAAAACATTACAGTGCTTCTGTATAGGTGATCACGATAGCAGCTTTATTTTTAGACATAGCCTTCCTTACATATAACAGAATGTACAGCACAACAACCTAAGAATTATGAATACCAAAGTTATGAAGTGACCAGTCAATCACAGACACTACTCGGAACCGGAAGTACACAATAAGGCATCAGTGGAAAGACACACACACAGGCAAATACAGTACAGTACTACATTAAATGTAAGCTATCAAAAAATTAAGGGAAAGTTTAAAAGAGAAAACAGTTTCTTTGATTGCTATATTTAAGATAGTTAAACAGAATTTTCTTTTGAATTGCAAAGCTTCAAAGCTGTATTAAATCAATGTTCAGCTGCAAACTTTTGAAAGAAAGTAACTCTGAAAATGTTATGGTTGAAGGACCTTCATTCCTGAGGTGTCTAACAACACTGAGGTTCTACTGTTGAAACCAAAGTCTTGCCTATGTACAAGATGAACAATCCTATTTCAAATCTGAAGCCACAAAATATTGGACTGTGGACTAAAAAGAGGGACTATATTAATATACAACTTATGACTAAATTTAAAAGCACTTTTCAAATTTACCAAAATGTATAGGAAATCACACTCATATCAAGGTAATGTTTCTGTTAGGAATGTGGCAACAGTTTAACAGTGCACAGCAACACTACACAATAATTTAAAATGAAGGAAAACAGGAAGTTACTGCCATATAAATGAAGGTTCTTTGAGATGTGTGGTCCCTATCTATATTCCAAGTGTGAGGATGTGCAATTTCTGAAAGGAAGGAGTCCCCCTTGCTGCGGGTAAGGGTTTGTCACATGGGGTAGAGTATGCATGGTCTATACTCCACTCTTATCCAGATACCAGGCTATGAGGTGAAAAGGGTTCAAATTTGGATGACAGAGCCTTCTCTCATCTTGTATAGCAGATTCAGGAGTGTTTACGTGCTGAGCGGTGTAAGGGTGGAATATCTGAGGAGGTCCAGAACCAGAACTGATGGGGCCAAAATGTGGCTATGAGTATGAGGGTGGCTTTGTCCAAATAAATCTTCTATAGCACCAGTGGCAGGAGGAGAGGGCGTAGTGAAGGTCATCTGTTCAAGGGAGGAAGCAAGCATCTCCCTGAGAGCCCTCCCATAATGTTCCTCTCGAGCAACAAGGGGCAAGCTTTTTGTTCTTGTGAGTAGCAGAGGTCCCATTGGTGGGTGTGGGTGTGTGCACTCCACTTCACAAAGTAGTGCACAACCATGTTATCACGTAACTCCAACTTGTGATTGAGGTAGGGAGTCCCGCCGAGTATATTGGCCAGGGAATTGTGGGTTCCAGTACACAGGCAGCTTAAAACATTGTATGGTTCTTGATGCACGAGCTACAGAGCCAGATTAACTCAGAGCGGTAGGCAGCAGACATGATACAGTCTTGCTTGTTGATGTATATGACTGTTGCAGTGTTGTTGGTGAGCAGTTGAAAGTGGAGGGACCCAACAAGCAGGAGGAAGATGGGACTGTGGAAGTTAATTATGTACATCCTGACTTCCCAATACTGTCCACACTCCTTGATCACTGTGCTGGCCTAAGTGGGCCCCATAACCTATGAGAGAGGCATTTATTGTAATGGGGCTGTGTAGTGTTGGAGGGAGTCAGGGGGTGTCAATCATGATCTTGGAAGGACTAGACCACCGTGTAAAGGAGAACAACACAGTCTGGGGTACAATTTAACCTTAGAGTCTCTAAGGTCTCTGTTGGGTCTATAGATGTAGGAGCTGCCAAGCTTGAAGACTACACATATGAAGATGTGTGTGCAGGCTGCCATATGGCCAAAGAAGGAGAGAGATTAACAGACTAAATGGTCTTTGACATGTTCAATGAGAAATGTCAGTGCTACAAAGCTATCTGCTTGGAAAAAAGCCCTTCTATAATGGAGCTGAGTTGTGCCCAATGAAATGTATCATATAAGCAAGAGTTCACACTGACTTTTTCCTCATTGACACAGTTAGATACCTAGATACCTAGCAGTGCCTGGAGACCAAGATGACAGAGATTATAAAGATGGCTTCCTGTCACGATAGCATCACTGGAAGCCGATCATCAAAGTAAGGAAATACTAATTAACAGAGGCAATGCATCACTACATGGTTTATGTGAACACTCACAATGCTGTCATGTCACTGTGACGAAACGAAGGACCCAAAACCGATAATGTTGCAACCCTATCTGAAAGAGGGAAATTGTACTGGGCCAGATGAATGCTGGTGTGGAATTAAATGTCTTTCATGTCAAGAGCTGGGATAGTGAGGAGATAAGAGGCCAGCATGACCATACTGAGTTTGTACTTTTTCAGGTGTTGAGCACATTTATCCAAATCTATAATAGGGCAGTGCCTTCCACACTTCTTCAGGATGAGGAAGTACATTAGGTGGAAGCCTTGTCTTCTATAATGAGGTATGATAGGCGCTAACACCTCTTCAAGGAGCAGATCATCTGCTTTTTGTTGAAGTATCAGTTGATGGGATGAGTCCCAGAGGGAGTCAGGGATTGGGGGAGGAGGGTGCAGCTGA